TTTTCTGCTTGTCTCCACTGTAAGAATACTTGGACTGCTCAGCTTTATTTTCCAAAGTCAAGCAGGGACCTGGCATCCATCAGTTTATCCAGTCCAAGCTGCCTTTCCAGAGAGCTCCTTTTTCAGTTTGTAACATTGACTAATGCTAAACAAGACTCGCAGTGATCACATGCAGCAAGACTCACCAAAATCAGCTCCCATGATGCTTGTTCTCCTTTGCCCCAGTGATGCTTGAGTGCCCAGAGGCCAACCAGCTTCTGTGTGAGAGACATTGCAGGTGTGGAGGAGCTCCTGGTATCCTGTACATCACTTATTGATCATCTCAGGACAATCAGAGGCTTGATTTTGCCCACTGATGAGCTGCTGCATCTGTTTTGGCTGCTGGTTTTACTGGAGGGGTAGAAACATGCTCTCTTGAGAGCTGCTTCCCTCCACCCCAGAGGTCCTGCCCTCTCACTGATTCCAGCAGCAGCTTCCCGGGAGCATGTGCCATGTTTTGTGTTTCTCTGCACATCAGGATCCAGCAGATAGAAGCCAAGGAAGCAAAATCATGGTTAGGGGAATAAAAGGAAGAGAAAATCACAGATGGAAATTGGTCCCCGGGTTCCAGGGTTTGTGCTATGGATGTCAGAAATGTGAGGCTGCCACCCATCCCCACACAGGGCTGCAGATCATGCTGCTTGAAGAGAGAGAGACATCTTGGACATCAGGGTCCTTCCCTGCCCAGAGCTCCTCAGTGCTCCAGGTCCTGTTTGAGACTCAGTGGATCTTTGACAAGCAATCATACACTCATTTGTTATAAACCCAAATTTGCACTTTGGCCCAGAATGAATGCTATTTGCTGTTTACCCTTGTTGGATGAAGATGCAATTCTAGGGCTATAAACCCTTATATAGGGGGAGGGAATAGCAGGTGAGCAAAGTGAGGAGGCAGCTTCACTGGAAAGCTTGTAAACCACTGACTGCCGTGAAAGTCAATGCAGGATTAAAAGCTGTCAATGCAAAAAGCCATAAACCACACCACTTCTACATCTATGTTCCCTGACTGAGCTTGAAACAAAGAGATTTTATTTTTTCAAGAGACATTTCAGAGCACTCCTTTGAGGCTCACAAATTATCACACTTTGCAGAGAATGTAATTCTGGGACAAAGTTTTTCTTCTGCTCTGTGTGAGCTCCTAAGGGGCTGTACCACATAGCAACTTTCCAGCTCTCCTGGAGAAGTCATTCCAACACTCCTGGAGAAGGTTTTCCTGCTATGTAGCCACAATTTAACCACTTTCTTTGCAGACTACAATGCAAAATTCTACCTCTCTCTGCTGCAACAACCACTTGAGTGGATGTAGCTGCTGAGAAGCTTTCATGGGCCAGGACACATGGCAGCACTGAGGTGGGGTGTGCATCACACAGGTACTTTCAAGGTGTATGCACCCAGGGCAAGTTTAAACTTACATGAAAAAGTAACACAACATGTCCTCTGAGGGAGGAAGAGACAAGGAAAACACATCTCAGACTGCAGGGTTCACTCAGCATCCAGACTCCAGTGCCCCAGATATGAGGTTTTACTGAAGGTACAGTAACAAGACAGTGGAAAAACGTATTTTTCTCCCCTGAAAGACTCACAAAACATTGTGCATACAGTGTGTGTGGCCCTGGGCTCCCAGAAGAAAGTTCAGCATGCAAAGCCCTGCCCTGTCTCACCTCCTCAAAGGCAGTGCACTGGGATGTGACAGTTCCCCTGCAGTCTGTGAGAGCCCCTCAGAAATTAGGCTAAAGCCAGATTTAAAAAACTTTTTAAATTCAGCAGGCCAAAGAGTTAAGGCCAGATACAAAGTAAGAAATCATGGGGAGAAGCTGTAGGTGTCCTAATTAAAGTATGAGCATGAGCCTGCCGTCCTGAGCTGATATTTGGAAATGGAAGCTGAAGATCTGAGGCTGAAATTCTCCCTGATCTTCATTTCTTCTCTGGCAGTCATCTGAAAGTTCATGTAACTGCAGAGATGATTCAGACTTTTCAGAACAGAACTTGAAGCTTAGATCCAAAGTCTACAGACCGTCCCAAGGTCCTCCCAACCTCCCACCACAACCCCAAGCACACAAAGGTTAGGCCTTGACTGGCTACTTTTCATGCCACTTTCACTTCTGAAGGTATCAGATACTGACATGATGTTCCCACTTGCTGAGGCAGAGGAACCTGCAGATTTCATCAGCTCAGCTTCTGCTCAACTCCTCAGCACTTGCTGGGCTCTGCTCTGAGAAATCAGTGATGAACTCTCTTTGCTTCCAACAGGAGCAAGCTAGGAACAAAATAAAGCACAACAGTAGCCTTTTCAGCAAGTGTAGCGCCAGCTCCCTGAGGATGCAGCCAGACATGCTGTCTGCACCAGATCAGCTTCAAAGCCAGTAGCTGAGAGTGCTCAGGGCAGCCACAAATAGTCTGAGTTAATAAAAGAGCATCTTCTACAGTCAAGGTGCAAATTTCTGCCTACTCATAACTAAAAGAAGATGCTGGGGCTCTTCCAAGTACGTCCTTCTGCTTTTGAGCATCAGGTGGGACTTTCAAGGGCTGCTGCAGATCGAGCCTTGCACATGCCATTCACTTTGTTCAGAAACTCTTGCAGAAACCATCACAGTACCTCGGCTTCTGTGTGAGGAGCCCAGTGTAGGCTCGAATCCAGCTCTGCTATATGTGCTCAAAAGACACTTAGTTCCTCTTCCCTACCATTTTAATATCTTTGCTGTTGAGCTGTTCAGGAATTGCTTCTTACTTTGAATTTTCACTGTGCTTAGCACAAGGAGATTTTGATCCAAGCCAGGGACTCAGGATGCTGCTCACAACATACCAAACTGGGATAAAAAGGGTTTGCACATGATGAGGTGACAGAGTGAATTGATCTGATAAAAGGCTCTTAAGTCATTCATTCAAGTCATGCAAGATTTAGAAACATTTCAGCAATAACAAAAACTCTGTTAGAGCCTTAGCAATTTCAAAGAACTTTTTGTTAATTGGCTTCACAATATTTTTTCCTTTCACTCTTTTTTTTTTGGTAACAGAGGGATGTTAGGAAATTTATGTTTCCAGTATCACCAGTGGCTCCCAAACAATCTTTTCAGGGCTGTGCTGTGTTTTCTTTGCCTGAGTAAATGGAAAACCTGCCAAGAGACTCACATTCTGTCCGTCTTCCTACCCCAGAAAAGGAGCATCAGCTGATATTTTAGGCTTTCACAAATCTACCTGGCCAAAAAACAAGAGAAGGACAGGGAAAGAGACTGAATAAACACCAGGGACACAGTATCAGTGTCAAACTGTGAAACCAATGTGGGTGATCCTACCCCTGGGAGGCTTGGTGGGCACCCCATGGGAGCAGCCACCCTCACAGTGCTGGGACACCAGTCCCTCAGCAGGAGGATGTGCTGATGCCCCTGAGCAGTCAAACAGACAGAAATGTTGTGTGCTGGCTTTGCCACTTCTTGCCACAGGCTGAGTGCTGCCTGTTCTTGCAACCCACCATCACAGAAGGGATGAAAGAGAAAACCTCTTTGCTAATAAGAGGTTTTATTTGTAGTAGGACTAGTTGTGAATTTTTAGCCCCCAGATAAGGCCATGTCCTGGCTGAGGTGCAGGCCCAGTACCTTACCTGCTGAGTTTCATTTCAAAACCCACCATATCCATTTGCATTTCTTCCTTCAGCTCCATCCCACATGACACAGAGACCTTCCTTCTCCAAACAATTGGCTGCTGGTCTTCTATGTAGTCTTTCCTTCACATCAAAATCCACTACAAAACATCATCTGAGCTCCTGAAAGCCTTTTTATGTCAGAGTTAAATCTCATTACTCAGCTGGCATTAATTTCCCTCTATTAACACTAGAGGGTTTGATCCCTTCCTGTTAAAAATTCATACACCAAAGCTAAATCATTGCTGTCTTCTCTTTTTCAGCCAAGGAAGAAGAAAAAATTAAAAAGACTCCAATGTTTTGCTGGCTGGTTCATCTTGGTAGAGTCTTATTAAATCCTTAGAGAGGCTGTCCTGTTCCTGGCGTGTGAGACTACTTTTTGTGTCCCAAAGGGATGTCACAGTGGGATAAATGCTGGCTCTGAGCCAGGACTTTGTAGGTAGGAATCAAACCAAATATTAGGATGATGAGAATTTAATACTGAGGCTCTGGCCCTTACCAATATCACTCAGTTCCAATACAAACAATTTATTGGCCACCCTTCTTTCCCACCATCCCTGTTCTGGACCACTTCTTATCTGGCTTCTGCTTTTCACAGTTTCATGGAACAGCAGATTCAGCTGGCTGGCGTGTTTGGGTCACACCCCTGGTCATACAAGCACAGCACTGCCAAAGGTGCCCTGCAAATGTTGGACTTGAAATTCCTGCCATTGTGATCTCTAAACAAAGAGAGCAGTTGGAGGAGGAAATAAAAGCTAACAAATGCTCCCTTCAGCAGGGTTACAGGTGGGGTGGAAACCACACAGGCTAAAATCCATCTTTACCTAAGACAGCAACAGATTTTGTGGTCATTGCCCCTTGTGAAACCCATCACTGGTAGGGCTCTGATCAGGGCTGAACCCCCTGCGTGACTGGGAGAGCCAGGGGAGCTGGGCAGCCCTGCCTCAAGGGATGGGGCTGCACATTTTGCCAGCTATCTCTCCATCATCTCCACACTATCATAGGGAGAGGTCTGGGAGAGCAGGGGCTGCCTTTCCCTGGCATTAAACTGGGCTGGGGGTTGCCCCTAGCTGTTAACTGGTCTTGGACCCAGCAGGAGCCAGTCACTCACTCTCACAAAGCACGAATGTAGTGGACACAAGTCCCTGTGCAGTGATTTCGTGGAGTGTTTCAAGAGAGGGGTAAGTTTAACCAGGTTTGGACACAACTTTATTCAATTTAAAAGGAACCAGCACAGGGTATTCAGGCACACAGTGGTATCTCTGTGTAGCTCACTCATGCTTTCCTCATATGCTGCCAAGCCATTTCTTCTTTAAAACCACAGATCATTTTGTGGTTTTCACATTTTTGATCTCCTGCAGCAGGTCAGACATTAGAGTGAGACTGACTAACAATATCATGAAATCTTCAAAATTGATTTTGTTCTCCGACTCCTCATCCAAGGAAGAAATTATTTCCTGGTATTTTGGTTTGTTTTCTTGGCCCTATGGAGGATTTTAAATGGAAAAAAAAAAGCATGAAGTTCCTTTTTTATTGCATCATTAGAAAAAAACAAGACATCTACTTATGTAAATATTAATGTACTTTTTATTTTCCCATTCAGGTTGTTACGTCCACACCCATTTTAGTTTTTCAAAAGTTATCCAAGGAAATTCAAACAGAAATATTATTTCAACCAGAAAGGAGAAAAACCATTCCTCAAAGTTTCTACCAGAATCCAGAATATAACTTTAAAAAGACAGCTAATCGTGACTGAAAATCTGACAATGATGATAGCTGGTAACTGCTAGGGAAAAAAGGGAGCCCTGTGTCTTGGTAAAACTGGGAGGAGGGAACAACCAAGTGACCAACCCTCTTAAATTTAATAATCAAATATATAGAAATACATATTATGAAGGTCTTAGGAACTGTTGATTTTACAGGCATAACTTTAGTACTGCTACTCTTGGTTCTTTTGGGCAATCCTATTGGAATGGATTATTAAAATTCTGTAACATATCTATTATTTATATTTCCTTATGAAAAAAACTTGCTAAATTTCCAGGGTTGTTTTTTAGCTTAATAATTTCCAAAACATCTCAGGACCCCAAGCTTAATTGCTTCCAGTGATATTTTCAATTCTTTTTCAATAAGGTGCCTAGTTTCTAATTTGGTGCCAATTTCCCCTCCCCAACCAGATATGTGATTTTGTTATTTTTGGAAGTAAAGGTATTACCTGTCTCATTTACTTACTGAGCTCTTTTTTATTAGTCCTATATAGCTTTTCCTACCACTTGATGATTTTTTTAATTTTTTTTTTTTTAATTTAGGGAGGGGAAAAAACCCCTGCAGGAAGTTTACAGCCACCAGTGCTACTATGGCAGCTTTTCACCATACCCAGCCAGGTGGGTGAGGCTTTCTGCCCCTCTCTCCCAGGAACCCCATCAGTGACTGCAGTGAGCATGGCTCTGTGGCACAGGGCAGGCTCTCAGTGCTGGCTCAGTGCCCTGGCAAACCACCAAACACCTCATTAAATACCATGGGTTTCTTCTCTTCACAAATCCAGCCTCCTGTCATCATCCAAGGGTTTTAATTTGTTTCGTTGGTTGGTTGGGGTTTTTTTTGCAATTGCCCTGTTTTCTTTAAACAAATTCAAGCAGGCATCATGTGGTTTATTGCTGTGCTCTCCCTTGGCCATGTTAGACACAGGCTCAACATAAAGCAACTAAGTCACAGAATATGTTTGTACCAAATCCCTAAAGTCTCGTTTGGGATTACCCCATGCTTGCTGAGCTGCAGGACAGAGCCTGAGCTGCCATTCCTGCACCCAAAGTGCCCAGCCAGGACTGTCCCAGTGAGAAATCAATGCAGATCCCCTCACCTGTATGAAATGCCAAAACTGGGACTGCAGTAAGCTCTTGGTTTCAGCTTTGCTGAGCTTGTTCTCGGGGTCAGCATAGTTGTTATACACCATAGCTGCTGTAGCAAAAGCCTTTTCAAGGTCTGAGCCTTTTCTTAGAGCTGGAGGGAGGAAAAGTTTGTCCAAAAAAAAAAAAGGAAAAAATAAGGCTTTTGAGATATAATTGAAAGGACTCTGTTAGAACCGTCCTGGGTGGGTGGAGATCTGTGTAGTTTCATTAAAGTTAATGAGACTGAAACTGTTTATACCCACAGAGGATCTGGCCCAGATTTTATTTGGAGTGGGCCAGCAACATGCCTCATATCCCATGCAATTACACCCTGAAGGAAGCTTTCCTTAGGAGCTAGGACTGTGACACAGCATGGGGCTTGAGACCCATCTGGTCTATCCTGACCCTGACCCTAGGCATCCAGTAAGGACCTGCCACACCATGGGGACAGGCCATGGTGACCACCTCCCAGATGCATTTGGACTCCCAGAGAGCTGTATCAGGGAAAACATGGCCCGTTTGGAAGCCTGGCTGTACAGGAATGTCCGTGTCTGAGCGTCAGTGCTGCACTTCAGCATTATGGCATACTTGGGATTTGGGCTGGATTCATTCCCCCCACTCGTGCATGACTCAAAGATTGCACACTCACAAGCCTCTGTCAGCAGAGGTTACACAGAGGATTTGTGTTGTGATTTTTTATGAAAAGGCAAGCACAAGAGATGTGACAACATCCCTTGTCATGGGTCCCTGGGAGCACAGGGACCCATGAGACCCTCTTGACTTACATCAGCTGAGGATCTGCACGGCCTCTGCAAGCCCTGTGACACTGCCAGAACTTTCTGCATGTGGGCTATGAAAGACCTGAACCCCAAAGGGGCAAAGAAGGGCTCCCCTTACCTTTTACTGATGCCAGCTGCTTGGCTATGGGTATGCTGGTGGTGAGAAAGCAGAGAGGCACAATTATCACTCAATAAATTGCGTTGGGTATTTAATTTCTCCATGAATGAGTTTGCTCATTTCTGTTTTATTTAATACCCCAGGAACTCAGGCCTTCCCAAGAGACAGTGTCATTCCTTCACAGTGGAAAAGTAACTAGCCTCTACAAGCAGCACAAGAACATCACATAGCTTCTAATCCCTCACCTAAGTGAGTAGCCTGGAGTTGTTACTGAAACTGATTATTAATTTTAAGTGAGGGACATTGCAACACAGTGTAATTTCTTCATGAACATGAAAGAGGTCCCAGAGATTTCTCAGTTTTACACCCATTCCCAGGAGAGAGTGGTCTACCACCCCCTCCTCACCAATACTCTCAGTTTGAAGCAGGCACATAGCTTTTATTTCCAGCAGGACTCACATTCATGAGAAGCACCTCCCTGCTTTCAATCAAAACCTAAAACCTGCTTACCTTGTGCTGAATTGCTAGAAACTAATTACAGAGCATGTGACAGAGACAAACACACCCAGATAATGAGTTTCAAGACAAATGGCAGATCACCCAGATGCCCTAACAAAGCGATGACTTACCCCTTGGGCACGCCTTCAGCAGCTGGAGGGTCTTTTTTGGTGGAAGCAGGAGCTGGCTGACTGACCGAGTACTGCTTCATACTTGGAACACTTGCTCTGCAGCCACACATCTCAAGGCCTGGCTGTTTGTGATCTCCAAGCAACGGGAGTAATAGCAAGCAGGTGGATTGAAGCTCTGCCCCGTGGAAGCAGTCTGCTTGTAGCCATGCCTATCAATAATGTAAACACTACCTGGCAATCGTGGAGCCTGTTAAATACACCAGCCTGCAGCAGCCCCTGGAAGGCACTGCTGGGCTGGCAAGTACTGGGGCTTGTACTTTACAGGGGAATTTGACAGAAACAAACTCATAATGGAACCTGGATCCTCTTAGACCTGTGGGGATGTAACTTTTCATCACAAATAACTTTGACACTGCATCCGTTCATTTATACAAATTATAATTTTAATGAGAAACTTTCCCAGTGTGGGATAATGTAACTTGCCCCAAGCTATAAAGTGAGCTATTCCTACAGCCAGAGTCAGAATCCAAGCATTTCCTCATTCCTGATCCAGCATTTACTCCTAGGTGAGCACACTCCTACTCTAATATTTATTCTATTTCCCTGCCACAGTGGATAGACCCGCTCTGCCTCCGCTTCCAAAGCAGCATCCAGCACGGAGCCTCTGCCGTGGTTCCCGCCCGAGCAGAGAGTGGCTGCTTCCAAAAGCAGCACGGAGCCATATGGCAGAGCAGTCGCACATTAGTGGAACTGGAAGGGCTCCAATGAACTTTGTTATTTATTGGCATGGATATCGCTATTAGAAAACACAGCTTGTCACACCGCCTATCTCCATGCACGGGCTCCTCTCTGCGGATCCTTTGCCTAGAGGTGTCTAGACAGGATAACTTAAAACACCAAGCAGCCACTTTAATTCCATGGTGGTCTGTTAATAGGTAGTGACTTCAACTACCTCACCCAGCTCATGGTTCCTGGTGAAAGGATACAATACTGATGTTAAAACTATCCATGATGAGACTTTATGTAACGGGACACACAAAGGAGACTGCAACAGATGGCCTAGAGAATTAAAATGTTTTCCTCATTTAGTAGAAGCTAAATTACTGAAGGCTAATGAATAAGGATGTTCACCACCTTACCGTTCCTGGATTTTAATTATCTTAAAAAGCATGGGAAAAGAGAACCTTTAATTTTCCATCTAAGAGTGTCATTACTCAAACAATTCAGAGCCTTTTTCTGAGGGGTTTAAGCTGTCTTAGATCTCTAGTGCATTCTTTAGGACAGGCTCATGAATAAAACAGAGCCTGTAATTGCAATGACGAAGCCAAAACACATATAATCAATGCTCATTATTCCATCAATTAACACACTAAAATTAAACAAGAATTCAGGCTTAGTAATCTGCCATCAGCTTAAAAAAAAAAAAGAAAAAAAAGAGAGTCTTGATATCATGTTGAAGTGATAATTCCTTTTCACATCTGTTGAACCATACAATGAGGCATGAAAAGCGTTACATCCCAGTTAATAAGTGAAATGGGGATGTTTGGTCTTAGCGTCCAAGGTAAAAAATGAGAGTGAGAAATAGACTCAGTTGCCTGTTTATCAGTGGCAGGCAGTACTGTGAGCGGGCTGGCAAACCCAGCCCTCTGTGTTTTGGGATCTTTCCACCGTAGATCAGGTTTCAGCTCACAGTTGTTTTAATCTCACCGACTTTTGAGAGCCTAAGCTCTAGAACAGGTGATTTGCTTTGCTGGGGTAGTAGCAAGTTCAAACAAACCCGGGGTTCATTATCCCTCTAGGATACACTAATTAGCGTATGCAGGAGTGTTTGTGCCTGACAGATAAAGGGTAGCATGAGGATAACCCTTGCCTTTGCAGATGATCAGCTTTGAAGACAGTGAGATTTTGGCTGTGTGTGTTGCTCGAGTATTCTGGTCAGCAAGGTGTGTGTGGAGCCAGGCCATCTGCTCTGTAGCTATTTTGGTACACACTATTTATGTCTGAAATATCCAGGTGCCTTTATCGGTCAATTTTTAGCATGTTTCACACGTTAACAATCCTGTCTGCACAAAATACGCAACCTGCCACTTCAAACTGCAAAATCTTTACAGGCAGTTCACTTCAAATAATTGCCACTGCAAAAAGTCACAGCCTCTCTTTCCTTTTGGAATTTTCCCAGAGTTTAACCCTCCTTTTTTAAGGAAATGCTTTTTGCATTTCAAGAAGGCTGATGTTGTGAAATGTGTGTGTGACAGAGCCCTGACTCCCTTAGAGATGACCCTGGGCAGGGGAGGCCAGCCCACAGCGGGCAGGATCCCAGGGACACAGGCACAAGGAAATACCTGGAACAGGAGATACACCTGGCCTCTCAGGCTGCATTTCACCAGGAAACTCTTCAGGAGCTGCAGGAGAAGAGCTGCTAACTTGCACCCAGGCAGGCAATAGCTTGAACTCTTCACCCAGAGAAACTGTGACTGTCCCATTTCTGGAAACATTCAAGGCCAGGTTGTACAGGGCTTGGGAACCAGATGATCTTTAATCCTGAACACACTATTGCCAAGTAATTTTCCCTCTGAGAAATATTTTATTACAGGACATTTAGACTTCAGAAAGGCAGCTGTATTCTTAAAAACCTAAAATCTCATTCATGGGGGACACAACAATAAAAACATAAGAACAGAAACTAAATGCAACAAACAGGATGCCTCCCTGCTAAGGGAGACTATCAAAATGATAATGTCTTCATAGTAAAGATAGATGGCATTGACAAATGATGGGACAATCAGCACCAAATATTAATAGCAAAATACTGCTGATGTTAGATGTTAGCAAAATATTGGTGATGTTAGAGAATTCCAAAAGAAAAAGCTCTTGGGTTTAGCAGAACTAGGGAATAAAAAGAAATCCTAAAAAAGAATATTTAAGTTAGGGAGAGCACAAGCTAAGTAGACCATCCATTCACATACATAAGGAATTTTGACTCAAATCTATCTTAAAACTAGTGGACAAAGGACTTAATGCTGGTGACATGATATGGCATAATATAAAAATAATTTTTTCATAAATAAATTAAATAATATGTAGCAGTTTTTATTCAGCAGTTCTTTATCTGTCTGTCATATTAACTGTGAAACTCTGAAGATATTGTCAGCAGCGGACTACAGGGAGGTGCAATGCATGTTGATGCCACTGCTTCTTTCATCAGCACATCACACTTTCAGCCAAGATTGATTCAGGGCTACAGCCTGGATTGCTCTTTCAGTTTGAGAGCATATAAAGATTGGAAACAATTAACCTAATTAGGTCAGGCAATCGCAACATGAATTCATGCAACAAGACCATAAACTTTCTCCAAGTCTTAGCCATCACTAAGGCTCTTGTTATGTGTAGCTCGTGGCTACACTGAAGGAGATTTGGTCATCAGGAGAAATATCACACACAAAAACCCCAACCCCATCTAGCCAGGGCAGAGCCCTCTGGGCTGTGTTTGCACCTGAACTCATCCTTGTCTCCTTGATGTACTGGGCAGGAAGTGAATCAGGCTGCAGATCCAGTGGTACCCAAAATTACCCTCCCTGCCCTCTTCAGCACCTTCCCATGGAGGGCATTGATGCTCCACCTCTGCAAAGTGCATCCCCTCCCCAACCAAGAGCAATGGGGGAAACCCCAAACCAGCAGCTGAATGTGCCCCTTCCTTGGCCTCCGAGGCACCTGGAGAGAAGAAAGTCCTGTGCTCTCTCTCCTCACCACACTCACCAGATGTACCTGTCTCTCCCCCATAGCTTCGCACTTCATAATGCAAACATGCTCCTAACTTGGGTAGCTGAGAAATGGGCTATAAAGAGAAACACATGGGAAAACAGGAGGGACAGCACACAAGATCAAGGAACATGTTTTTTCTCTCCCAGGCTGACCCAGTTATTCAACTAACTGGCAGAGATACTCACTAATGATGAAGTAGGAAAGCAACAAGGCTGCCAGAAGCAGTTTCACAAAGAATGCTCAAGTTTACTTCGCTATTTGTCTTAAATCCAAGTAACATCAAATACAGTCTTTTTCATCAGTTGCTCCACCCTTGGCTATGCAGTCACCATCCCCAGCTGAAATAAACTTTCAATTTCTCAACAACTGCAAAAGGATGTGATAAGACTCAGATCCAGAGGAAGAAACATTCAAATACATTTTCTTACATAACACAGACAAGTGCATGCATCATTTTTGTTTTCACTTTTGCTGCTGCCATAGTTTATTAATCTGAGAAGGTATAGATGAAGAGATTTTTTTATCTCCTAATTCAGAGTGAAGATTACAGTCCCCAAAGGGTAACAACCAGCTCTACTGTTCTGTACAGCAGTAAGGAGCTGAGGTACCTGTGAAGATCTGGCCAGCTGGGTAAAGCAAGGGCAAGTCTTCCATGAAAACATGTGCCTCTTACACTACGTTTTGCTAACTCTTCCACAAGTTCTGCCCTTCATGAGAAAAACCTTAGACCTAGAGTTACATAAATAGTACCCAAAATACTACATAAGTTTAATTCTGTTCCCAGCCTTGTATTAGAAACTGCCCTTCAGGGGTGTGAACTCCAGAAAACTGCAGTCCTGTGTTCACATGGTTACACAAGAATTTAATCTGGTTTGAAATGCAGGAATAAACAAAAGAAAAACTAATTTCCATCCCTCAGCATTGGACAGTAAAGTTTAGGAATGGGATCCTGCTGATCTGGGAGGAAAAATTAATGAAAAGAAAGCTAGTTGACACAAAAACTTCTTCTAGTGGAGAAGCTTATATATGGGACATTAGTTTGGGATATTCATAATCAATTTATAGAAAGGGAATTCAAAAGAACAACAATAACAAAAAAACCAGTAGAAGCAGGACTATGTGGGAGAGGGTATGAGGAGCAGACATCCCATCACACCCCTTGCCACACACACATTTCAGTTTCTTCTGACTTGCTGATGTCTAAGTTTTTTCCAAACTTAAAAGAAGAAAAACAACCAACCAACAAAAAACCCACCTCTCCCAAACAGACAAACAAACAACCAACCTCAAAAACAAAAAAAAAACACCCAAAGAAACAAACAAACAAACAAAAAAAACCCAAACAAATTAACCAAGAGCCAAAATAACCTTTTTCATTAACCCAGAAAATTGTATTTTGCCCTCATTTGGAATAGGAGTACATTTAGATATTCCAGTTTGTTTTC